TATCCAGGGTGATCCAGTGTATGTGAACAGTGAGATGTTTGGGCGCTGAAGTCGCCATAGCCAATTGAGAGTGAACTCGTATCTGGAAGCCATATATCTGATTTTTTGAGTGGGCGTATGTCGCCAGTATGCTGCGTTGCTGTTTACATGCATGAAAAGTGTGTTTGRGAACAAGTCTGATTGCACTGATGCCGTTCTTAAGAGTAGGGAAGTGACTTTTTTGGACCCTACAACTTTGCCATGACCGAAGGTCACGACAACCCCTGGCCATGATTTTGCGGATTTCATGCCAGTTCTAGAGGCTTAGCAGAGTTCTGTGCCGAGCTGTTGACGCCTGAACTTTGGTAGGTTGGTCAAACGCTAGGACCCTTTGACTTTGCGCATCTGGTCAAAAGGTAGGACCCAATCCATCCCCTTGACGATTCAAAAGGGGTCTGCATTCCATAGGTCATAGGACTGAGACACATACTAGACCATATTCTCTAGGATCGAGGGCCATTCTGATGGACTTTCGACCCCTGCAGTCCTATTTCTCATGCCTGGCCTCGACTCAGACTTTGGATGCATTTTTTTAAAGCTGGATGTGACCCTGGGTCATTGCATTAGCCAAACGAAGACATAATCAAAGAGGCAACACAGTACGGAAAGAAAGGAAGAAACTGCATGCAAAGAGGCAAAAGAACGGTGCCAGTGTGCTCTTCGTGTTTGTCTTGTATGTATTTTTTTTATCGTTTCTTTCACAAAGTGCTCTCGTTTAGCTGATAGATACGTGAATGGATTTCACGCTGCAGACACCTGACAGTTCTGGGAAGTCTCCCAGCCCCAAGTCCCAGCAGGGTAGGCCCGATAGGTTAGAAAGGGCGTCCGAAGTCCAAGTCGGGCCTATGTCCGGAAAATTTGAGTCAGCCTACGGTCAGTCCGGTACCGACGACAGAAAGGTCCGGAAAGTCCAGTGCAGTCCCCAAGTCCACAAAAATTGCAGCATGTCCCAGGAAAGTCCGGGAAGCTTCCGGACCGACAAAATGATTGCAACAGACAGGAACCGCAGCTGACCGGTACCGGTCCGAAGGCGGCTGTCAAGTCCTAACTTCTATATTTAGCGGCTACAGTGCAGCGGGCTACACAGTTGTTCGTTCGTGAAGTTGTGGACGCGTTGCTGCTGCTGCTTGTGTGACCAAGCGACTTGGGCAAGACTGCGCTCGAAGAAGAAGGGAGCGTCGATGTCAACCATAGCTAGGGTAGCGATAGGGAAGCAGGGTGGCCATAGCCGCCAAGGTCTGAGTCTGAGACGAGCGGGTGTTTTCAGGGTACGATCCAAGGCAGGAGAGAGAGAGAGAGAGAGAGAGAGAGAGAGAGAGAGAGAGAGAGAGAGAGAGAGAGAGAGAGAGAGAGAGAGAGGAATCGTTTTGTTTTTTATCTCAAATTTGGTAACGAATTTCAATATGACCCTGAGGCAAAAGTGTTTCAGTTTATTTTTCTGCATAACATATATTTTTTTTCAGATTTTTTTGAATTTTGTTTTCCGTACGTACGGCCCGTACTACCACATGAGCCCGTACGTACGGCCGTATGTACGTACGTACGGCCCGTATTCATACGGGGGTCTACATAGCTCGTCAGTGTGTATGTGTGTGGGTGCGTGTGTGTGCATGCCTCGTGCACCCGCCCGTGATTGTGTGTGTGTCTGTGTGGGTGGGTGGGTGTGGGTGGGTGTGTGCGTGCATGCGTGGTTGTTTGTTTGTGTGTGTGTGTGTGTGTGTGTGTGTGTGTGTGTGTGTGTGTGTG